AAAAAATAAACTCATTTACAAGAACTATGTTATACAGACAGTCATGCGCACGTCCAAAATGTAATTGTTGTTGCTTTAAATAAAAAAAATTGATAATGAGAGAAAATTATCAAAATTATCAAAATTTCGTTCACCTTGGTATAATCACAGCATTGGTTCTGGTTATGCTTATATATCCACACAAAAGATATCATCATCATCAAGCCCGTAACAGATCGTGTAGGACCTAGGCTTCCATTCTTCCCTGTTCCTTGCTTTCTCTTTCTAGTTCCTTATATTCATATTCTCTACATCATTCTGGATACTGTCTTTCCATCGTTTTTTTTAGCTCTCCTCTGCTTCTCTCGCTTCTGATATCATTCTTGAATATCTTGCATTGCACTCTTATTTTTGACATTCTTATGACATGATCAAGCCAACCCTGTTAAACCCTGTTTTTTAATAAACTTGCTGATAGTCTCATGTTCAACTAGTTCTAGCCCTTAGTTGTATCTTTTGCTGTATATTCCGTTTTCTTGTATAGGTTCAAAAATTTTTCTAGAATGCTTTTCTCTAATATTGCTATTCTATTCGCTTCAGCTTCACCTAATCTCCGTGTTTTGTACATTTTTAGTTTCTTTGTGATATATTTCTCCTTGTCATCAATTTACTCAGTCCATAATAAGCTTTATTACTAGCTTACATAAAGGATATAACCTTTCAAATTCAAGCACAACCACAACGTATGACAATATTAGTACAAGTATCAAATTATCAATTATGATATGAGTCTCTGGACGTATATAACAAGCCTTTTGGTCAAGATCAAAACGAATATAAAATGCCGAGACCAAGAGTCATATGACATGACCACACGTTATATGATTGTCTGTATAACATTACCCTTAGAATATAATCAATAATCTTTAAGAAACTGAATTATAAATAATAAAACATCTAAGAAAACTCTTTTTATTTCAAAGATATTGCAATAGATATACTTAATTTAAGAATATGTCAAAAGAGAGAAATTACTAACTTTTAACTTTTCGGTAACCTTTAATTTTGTCTTTAAAATGTGATTATTAACAAAAGCCTTCCTGCTAAATACTTCTTTAATCTGACAAGCGAATATCCTGTAAAAAGATTTGGTTCGAATGAAGTTAGTTAATACATCCTTCTATGTTTCGTCATCGTTACCAAATCTGTAATGATGAAGTGACCAATAGAGTGTATTCGTATTATTCGTATTAGGCAACATAGATATGAGATTTTAAAGCTTCTGGTAAAAGTCAATTAGGTAATCCAGGATTGGAAGATTTTTATTGCTGCCTGGCTACTTTCAGGTTTTAAAGATGTTCTTTGAATTTGCTATCTATATAGGATGGAATATTTATTCCATAATATTCCATATTCCATAATATTCCACTCCATAATATATATGGATATGTTAAGTCATCAAGCGTTTTCATGGCGATTTTGAAATATGTTCTCAGTGTTCCCACTGTCTCAGTGAAATATGTTGCTAGTAAGGAAAGATAATGGTACACACTATTACAGGTCACCTCATAACTGTTATGGCAGGGATTAGCGAGAAACCTGAAACTCTGAGAATATTATAATTTCTTAACATATTATATTTTTATTAATTGAAATAGTATTATTTTTAAATTGTTAGTACTAAAGAATAATAAATACATATATATTATTTTTTAATTTAATTCACAAATACAAATGTTGTAGAAACAGAGTGCACCATGAGAATTATAAACGTTAATATTCGAGCTGTAAACGTCTTACATGTTTTGTAGGATGCATCCTAAGCATCTTTCAAATCTAATTATTAAATTACATCGTTAAGCTTAAAAGTGATAAAGCCCTTAATGATATTTTATTGACTCATTTTTAACACTTCAGTTTATGCTGAGTCTCCTGGATTGAACTGATTGCCTTATGTCTAAAATTCTATTCTAATGTTTGGCTTCTTTGTGTTTTTCTTATAAAAACGAATCTTATTTATTAAAAACTAGATTAAAACAAATTTTTGTGTGAATAGGATTAAGTGTGTAAAAATATGTATCATAAAATAAAATGTAGGCTGCATAAAAAGGCATGTATTCTTTTTCAAAAGTATTAAATTGTGAAAATATCATATCCATTGGATAGCAAACCTCACAGAGGAATAATATGAAAGCTGACAGACATCTGAAGCAAAGCTACAACGAAGTTGTTCATGATGGTGAGCTCCATGCACCAGGTATAATGGGAATACAGTCATTTTTAACAAGCCATCAAAGCAAATTTTAATAAAAAATTAAATTTAAAAGTTTGAAAGTCTTGACGTTGATTTAATTCGTTTTTCATACGATGTAAGTTTTTGTTTCTGCTTGTAAAAATAAATGAATTGATTACAAGAGACTTTCAATTATATCTCCTCAAGCGTATAATAGAACAAACAATCAATTAAAAAGTTAATGTGCTAACAGATGATCAAAATTAATTTCAGATATAGGTTGTGCTCTCTACTACTCTAACATTTTTGGATTAAGAGTTTGCTTACAGACAACACTTAACACTTCATTCAATTATTACTAGCGATAAACTGTACGATTTTAATTAATGATTTTTATTATACCTATAATAGTGAATTTTTTATTTTACTTAATAAAAGCTATTATATTTAATAGAAAGGTTTTGAAGAGTAGTAAATTACAACAACAATTTTTTTTATTATTTTAATTAATTGATTTTTGGCTTACCATACAGCTGTTTCAAGTATTGCTAAATACTCACCATCAATTATCTTGGAATTATTTCTTATATTTAATTAAAGCCACTGATGATGAGTATTTGGCAATACTAGAAACAATTGTATACTCAGCAAAAAATTTAATTAATTAAAACAATAAAAAAAATGTTGTTGTTGTAATTTATTAGTCTTCAAAACCTTTCTATTAAATATAATAGTTTCTATTAAGTAAAATAGTGCCTGTCGTCATAGTTAACTGATCATTAAAATCTATTATAATAAAAATATTTAATTGTAGTTAGATATATGCTATAAATATATTACTAGTATATCTAAAGTATATAATATATTATAAATATTTGAATTGAATATATAGATTAGCTGCAGAAATGTCATCCATTTGGTCCGTTTTATTTAAACAGTTTAATATATCGACTAATGTCGATTTTATTTTTTCGTTTTTGTATTAAAACCATTTTGTACCAATTTGGCAGTATCACTTCAGTCACCGATATCACAAATATAATTGTCATCTAAGGTATCATATTTTTAGTTTAAAGTTTATCTTTTTACAATATGGATCTCTTTATAAACGCAGAATGTGTTCAAAGTATGAAAACATACGACAAAATAGTAACAGATTTTTGCACCAAATTTTCTTCAAATATTATCAAATTTTTATCCGTGACGAGCCTCAATTTGCGGTTGATGGATATGTTGCAAACCTAATGATCACATATGGCACAGGAAAAGTGCATAAGTAACTATTGAAAGACCATAGCGCATCCATAACAAGTGACTTTATAGTGTGATATTTGGACCGGAAGTCTGATGTGTTCGTACTTCTTTAGAAATACCGAAGATGTCACACAAAACGTTAGTTTTGATCACAAAAGTCACATGATTATCAATTCTTTTAATGTTAAATAAAAGGTTTATGGTAGAATATGGAAGGTATGGGAGGCTATTTTAGATTCGTTGAGCTAAAAATAACCCGAATGTATTATTTCACTTTCGATAATGTGAATTAAAAAACCATTTTATACAATTTACACCGCTTGACTATTATTAATAGTCTTCCTTTTAAATAAAGAAAGCTTTGTATGCTTGCATTACTCAAACTCTCAAACTCTGTAGTATCCTAATGATATCCTAAGTATCCTAAAATTAGAAAATAATTATGTATTGTTATAAACTATAAACAGTAGACCATCCCAATAACCTTGCTAGAAAATTTTTAGTAAGACGCTATCCAAGAAGATTAAGATGAAAGAACTTTATATATAATATAAACCACCCTATTCTATCTAAAAAAAACTCTTATTAAGACACTATTCGAGAAGATTGAAAAGAAAGAACTTTAAGTTCATAAATTCAATTGCAAATAATCGCTATAACGCATAGCAGAACGCAGAAGCTATTATCCCTCTTTAATTATTTTATAAATAACTAAAATAAAGAGGTTTTTCTGAACAGTAGTGAACTACAACAACAAAAATTTTATTTTTTATATTATTTTAATTAATTGAATTTTGGCTGACCATTCTGACCATAACTAAAATATAAATAATTATCAATAATTATTCTTAATAAAATTATGAGTTTATATATTTTTCTGTCAAGAATAATTTAAAAACTACTTATTACATAGTAATTAATTAGTGATAATATAATATTTCCTAGAACGGTAGTGCAGGAAGTAAAAATAAGATGTACTAGTTTTAAGATTTGATAAATTGTTATTAATTTTCAATGGGAAGATTTAATAGTTTAATATAATATAATAAAAAAAATCTTAATCTTAAGGTACCACGAAAAGGATAATGCTGTATAGTGCTTAAAAACCAGTTAAAGTTGACATACTATGTATATTGTTTCTTTGACATTCAATATTTCTTATTATTAATAATATTTCATGATATCTCGTTTATATCTAACAACTTTCGATACAAGGTTCAATCGATTATAATGCTAACATACCAGCCTTTCAATTTAAAATTAATTAACATGTAATAAGCGTTGTTTAACAATAGGTTTTAATGTGCATAAATTATTGAAACGGAATAAATTGCTTAATAAATTTGCAAATTGATGTACTAGTTTAATTGATTAAACTGCCATAACAACTTAATACACCAACTTTATTAAAGCAACTATTATTAATTTAGTATAATGAACACGTGCTCTTAATTTCCGCAATTTCTACGTAGAAGTTTTATTATAGTTGTAAAAAGCGGAAAATTTTAATCTCCAACTAATCCTTTTTTAATTATTTAATTTCAGCAGTTACATCATGATAACTTATTGGATTAGCTCAGTATTACCATAGTGGGTATTGAGATATTTATATACTTCACAGCAACAGTTACCGAATAAATAACGACGAAAAACAAAAGCTCGATAACTTAACGAACACGTTGCACTCAAAATATACAAGATAGTGATAATACAAAGTACACAGAGAATTTCCATTAAAATATAGACTATATAATGGAAGTGTATGACGACAGGCCAGTAAGCGTCTATGATAATCTCAGCATGCCCGCAACAGTTAACACGAATACAGCAAAACTTAAACCGCAAATAATACCAACAACGTCATCGACATCTGCATCATCAACAGCAGCCACAGCAGCGCTGAATGGAACAGATCCCCACTCTCCACTATACACCGAAATATCATTTAAGTTCAGCGATAATAATAAACAACATCAACAACAACAAAAACAGCCTATAATTCCAAATGGCAATCGAAGCTCCAATCACAGTCAACAACAACAAATTACCAGTCAGTTGAACTCCCCCTGCTACGCCACACCACACAAATTACCACCGAACAACACAACCGCACAAGCATTACCCGTTGCAAACACAATAGCTGCGAACGTAAGTCCAGTGCAAAGACCGCTTAGTCAACATTCGCAATCGGAACTAAACGAAGCCAGTCACAGTATAGCCGCAGTGAAAGCCGCTCTGAACGATGCTAAATCAAAATTCTTTGGTTTAAATGGTTACGCGCCAGACACTACAGATTTAAATAACGAATCTCAATTGCACAAGTTACTGCCAAACGTTAATGAATCTTACCAGCCAAAAGTACAAATTATCACACCATCACCGCCACCCAAACCACAGCCGAAGTATCAAAATATACCCGAAAACAGCGCGATATTCCGTAATCAACCGCCGGAATTGCCTCCGAAACCAAGTGAATGGCAGACCAATAAATCAAATACCAGCAATAGTCCAGTGTTCCGTGCCACAACGCCGTCTCCAGCTGCATCGTCGTCGAACTCTTCCCCAGGCTCCCAAATGGCTCCACACAAATCTTCCGCATTGGCTGCTTCAACTCCTTTGCCAACACCTGCACCAATCCAACAGCCGTCTAAAGGCAACTTACCGCACAGCGCCGCATATAAGCAAGTTCCGCTGAGTGACATCGACAATTCGCAGCCGTCGCAGGTAAGATTCCAATTCAAGTCTTCCTGTACTTCACACAAAAAGCACATTGCATTAACAGATTAACTTTCCGCGACTAATGTCGCACAGTGAATTGCCGGATTAATCGCAATCTTAAATATTATTCAATAAAAAATTACTTAACAAATGCATTTTTTGTGATTTACAATATTTTATTGCTAATTGTGATTGCTTTTCTATAAATAAACTATAGTTCATAATTTAGAAATAACACAATTATAAAAATAAGCAACGAAAGTGAAATTAATAACTTTTAGTAGTGCTACTATAGACAATATAAAACTATAATATAATTAAAAAAAATATTATCGTCAGTGACTAAAGTAAATACACAAAGGAATAAATTAGTAAGAATTTTTTTCATTTTCAAATTCAATAAAAATTAAAAATATTTAATTAAATGAAAAATTAATAATTTTGTGATTCCCAATTATGTTATAGCTTAATAATAATTAATCCAATGTCCAAATTTTTATAATAGACCCTTTTCCTTACTTTTATTTTCCTCATTTCCTTTTTTTATTCCCTTTCTTTTATTCCCCTTTTTTCTTAACCTCTTCTGTAAAAATTCTATGCTTAAACTAGATCTAAAGATCAAAACACAATCCGATAAAAAGAAATCCTTTTTTCTAATTCCTGTGTTTTCGAGGTGATATATAAGTTTATATTGGTATATATAATAATAATAAGTCTTGCTCGACTCAATGATTTTGAGCAGAGTCTTATACTGGACATACTTATGTAGTGAGCTGTCTATAAGTCGCTTTCACCTTTCGCGCCACAACGCTACGTCTTTTATATCAGTAATGTTGCTTATTCTTCTTCCTAGGAGCTGCGAAACAGTTTTTTTTTTCATTTAACATTGACCTTCTCCTTGTTGTTTTTGGACGACCTCTTCCTCTGCGATCTTGTGGGTTGTATACCAACGCCTGTTGAAAAATTTCGGTAGGAGTCTTTCAAAGTGTATGCCCGATCCATCTAAATTTTTTTTTGCGAATTTCAAGGTTGACATCTCTTATATTTATTTTGGTCCAAAGGTCTTGATTTGATAATCTGTTTGGCCAGAAAATACGCAAAATTCTGCGGAGACATAATTCCATAACAAACCAGGTTTCGCAACCATACAGGAGAACTGAAAGAATGCATGCTTTAAAGATTTTTATCTTTGTGTGTAAACTATAGATATTAGAGCTCCACACTTCACGAAGCCTTGTAAAAGCGCCCAGGGCTTTCTTTATTCTACTTATCACATTTTGGGATTTATCTACTTATCACATCTTACGCTGTAAATCACATCTTGCGCTATATGGATGTAAATATTCTCTAACTGGTCTATAATAGCTTTCAGATCCACTGAAACTTGTATTATAATGTTCCATGTTATATCTGTATTCCATATATTATATTCGTATGTTATGTTCCTTTCTTATATATATTCATTGCTCCAAAAATATGAGAGAACTATCCAAATTTTTGCGTTGATTCTAAGTTTACAGTGATCTGTTAAATGATCTATATGAATCTTATACTTTTTAGCGATCTGTAAAATCTTTTCAGAATTAATGCCAATCAGGATTAATATTTGAGTTGTTTACTTGAGCTGTGACGATTTTGCTCGAAAATTTGTAAGACTATCCATTTCCCATATTCCTGTATTGGTTTTGAACTTACTGTAGTCTTTTAAATAATCTACATTGATCTACTATATGGTCTTATAGTGGTCTTTCAAATAATCTATGGAAATTGTTGAAAACTATTTCTTTCGTTAGATAAGTGTAAGACAGAGCGAGCGTGATGTTGTTTAGCCCTGTAGATAATTTTGAAAGGTGTGATCAATAATTTTTTAACGATGAGTTAATATTTTGTAATTTTTCCAAATTGCATTAGTTATGTAGAGTCATTTTTTTTCTAATTTTGATAACTCCTTTGGAAAGCTTTTTCTTGTGATAATACTCCATCTTTGACTAGTCGGTGATAATAGGTATATGGCAAGTCTCTAAAAACCTGTACAGTCAGCCAAAAATTCAATTACTTAAAAAATACTAAAAATTTTTGTTGTTACAATTCACTACTGTTCAATAAAAGCATCTCTATTGAAAAGAATAATTTATATTAAGAATTTAGTTAATTAAGTCAAAACGAACGATAAAAATCAATTCATTTATTAAAGAACTGTATTCATAGTTTATTCTTAACTATGAACTGTAAGTTCTTCTTTAACTTAAATCCTCTTGCTTTACTTTCGAAAATTTAAGATAAACATTTACGAAAATTATTATTCATTGCTTAATTTTAGTTCTATCTGGTCTTGATTCAAGAATCTTTATTATTATATATCATTGCATTGCAACAATAAGAGCTTCAGTCATACCAATACTTTTTGTCTGAATAGATTGATCAATATCGCAATCTAGCAATGCCTTTATTTACTAAGAATTAGTATTTTTATAGTAAACACTTCCTATCTAACAATCTGAATTTCTTTAAAAACGATATTTTTAGCCCTTTATATTTATCTATTTTTTTATGCCTTATATTGATATTTCCAACATCATACCTTCACCACATTCGTTTAATCAATGTTTATACTGATATTTCGTCATCTCTAAAGTGAATCCTAAACATATACTTTAAAATCTATTTCTGTTATATTACTATATTTTATAAAATTTTAGTTTAAATATTTGGCAATATCTACAAGGAGAATGAGAAAAATGTTATATATCATAAATACATATGGAAGTAGAAGTAACAATCAGGACCTAAATCTCATGGCACATAGACAATTAATTAACTACTTTTCTAAAATTTTTAAATAGTATTTGAGTAAATTAATTAAAGTTTTATTATAAGTAATTTATAAAAGATTTATTAATGTTTCCACATAGTTTTATTTTTTTGCTATTTGACTTGGTTCTTCAACCTGAACTCTGTTCTAAAGGAATATTCAGAATGAAAGCACCAAACGTCTATTAATTTAAATGTATTAAGAAATCTTTAAATATTAAAGTAAACTATAATTGGAATTATCTAGAGAAGTTTTAGTTTTATCAACCCAAAACTATTGAATAGTTTCAATTAAATAAGACAGTTCTATTAAGAACTTATTTTTCATTTGGTAGATTTTAATTTTTCTATAAGGAACAAAATGTTCATATAATCAAGGTTTTATAATAAATATTTATAACTACTTTAAATATCAGAGTAGAAGTAACTGGTATAAAAATAATTACATCTTGTTAATATGAAAATAATTAGATTAAATCTTATTACTTTACATCTATATTCACCATAAAATTAATTTAATTTTTTTAATTGTCCTTATTATACCTTATCATTTATCAATCGGCTTGTAACATTTTTTTAGAATAAATTATATACGTTACATATAAACCAGTATTAATAAATATGCATTTTAAATATAATTTATTAAAAATCAAAATAGAATTTAATAAATGGATTATTTATAACGGTTCATAAGGTGAAGATTAGTTAAACATTGAACTTCAATATTATAAAGCGTAAATCGGTAGATCAAAACAGTGCCCATTATGAAAACATATACATGTAGATTTATTATAATTTTTTATTATTGATTTAATGAAATTCGTACAGGCTTAAAACAAAATTATAGAATTTTACTTAAAATCTAAATTGACAATAACATATTTGTTGTGTGTCAGATACTTATCTGGCGTAGGAATGACTGTGATCGAGAAGACGGTTCCCCAAAGTGAGGCTTGGCCATTTCAGATTTTATT